CCGGAGCCTGTGCTCTGCAACGGGAGAGACCACAGCAGTGAGAGGCCCACATACCACAAAAAAAAAAAAAAAAAAAAAAAAAAAAGGAAAACTCTGGAGAAACATTTTCAGAGCAACAAATGGAGTTGGTTTTACTTATGCCACACAGGTGAGCGAGGGCCCAGATTCTCAGACGCCTTATAACTCTGGTTCCCCCTCTGGCTCACACTTTGGTGTAAAGAACTGAAGCTATCAACACAGAGCCCGAGTCATAGTAATAGCACAATAAAAGTTTGTTGAATGAATGAACTGATACCTGGGGTGCAGTGTGAACAGGCTGGAACTAAGTTTCTCTTTGCAGAAACAGTCTTGGGACATTGTGGGGAGGTGACATTCTCAAAGCAAGCCTGACTTGTCAGGACCGACCCTCAGTGCTCGGGGCATCCTGGGAACCCAAAGGAACAACTGAGTTCTTACTAGTTCAGCCCAGTCCCCTGAATATGCCCACTCAGCATCAAATTCATGGCCAGAATTTCAGATTCAATACCATATGTTATCAAAATACAATGAATATGTGTGTAGCTCCTGCAATTACATTCAATACGTATAAGACTTTAAGAAATCTGGGGTAGAAAGTGACCCCCTTTACCTACCCTTCCCTTTTGCCTTTTTTTCGCTTTCTCTCTCTCTCCTTCTATTCTCTTCCCCCTTCCCTCCCCTTTCCTCCTAACCCCATCTTCTGCTCTTCCCCCCTGCTCCCTTCTCTTTCTTTCTCATTATCAAAGTTGAATACTTCTAAGTATCTGTGGCCCCAGAGGATATAACAAATAAAGCTGTTTTTAGTTCCCAGAAGTAGGAGCAGTCGTGAGGGGGGAAAAAAACCTTTCTGGCCACATTAACAATGATTTAGAGACTCTCAAACTCACGGATATCCAGAACATTCTACTGGGTATGAATCCAATACCCACACAGTAAGCTAGGGATTTTAGTTTCTGGGATGTAAATTTCATCATGATCATGATGATAGAACAATAAATCGTTAGTTACACCAGTAAGATCTCTTTTGCATGTGTATTTAAGTAAAACAAAGTGTGGATGCTATTTAAAGCAGATGGGCGTATCAGATACATATTTGTCACAATTCTTAATTTCAGATTCACAAGTGCTGGCTGGAGGAGACTGTTTCCGGCAATAAATCAGTTTGCATTTCTTTCATAGCATAAGGAGCCGGCCAGAGTTAGGACAGGAGTTCAATTCTCTGCCTCTATCTCCCTTTCCTGCATGTTTCAAATAAAAATGTTTGGACAGGACAACCTATTGGTTACTAACCTTAGCCTGTTCTTTACCTTCAAGAGAATCAGGTTGCTTTGGTCAACAAGAGTCTCAGAAGTGATTTCCTCAGATAATTCCGTTTAAAGCTTTCAATTAGTTCTACCCTGGCATTGTATGGTTTTAAATATCCTTTCATTCATTCATCCATTCAGCAAACTTTCATTGAGTATCCACTCTCTGCTGGGGCATACATTAATTCCAGTCAGTCTAATATTCTTTTGTAGGAGGAATCTCTGACCCAGTTAGGCTGCTGCACTGGTAAACTGGAGAGTGCTGTCACCATTAAGTGATGAATCACTCTCAACATATGTTATCTCTTATTTGGAAAATTTCCTTTGATAGGACAATAACGATAACAAAGATGACACAAAAGGAACATGAATAGTCAGTCCCTGGTTTGCTTCTTCTTTGGGGGAGTATACAAACCTATTTCCAGGCAGCCTGGTATTGCTGAAAGATCACCAAACCTAGAGTCAGATGGTCTAGAGCCAGTCTCAGCTTCAATCTTAGGGAACCTACCTCACCATTTGGAGCCCCCATTTTTTAATCCTGAGACCTGAGTCTGAGAATCCTTGCCCTACCTTTCTCTGGAATTACTGTGAGGAAACAAAATGAAAAAATGTGTATATAACTGCTCTGAAAACCATAAAGCCCCATACAAATGCAAATTTATGACTGTTAGACAATCTTTGACGTTCCTTTCAGGGCAAATCATCACATTACAGTTTCTTTCTCTCTTTTTCTTGAAAGGAGGGAACTTATATTATCAACTGGCATTATTGGGGCATTTGGCGGTACAACCCACATTTACTTCCTCATGGAAGAGACCAGTTAGAAATTTTCCTTATTGAAAATGAAATGCACTCCCCTGGGGCCAGAGTCGGAGTTGGAGATGCACTGCTTATTGAGGGTTTCAGCCAAGGCTTCCGGTCCACAGAGGAAAACTCCTATTCTGGTACTTTTGGGAAAGAAAGAAAAAAGACAGTTTCAGGCTTTGGGATGGGCTCAATTACAAAGCACATGCGGGGATTTCCTACTGATTTCAGGCCTCAGAGCAGAGTCCCCTCTGCTCCTCTGTCCTTCCGCAAATGACAGAGTTCAGGTTACCATGAGGGAGCGTGGCTCGGCCCTGTTTGCGGGGCTGGGAGGGGCGGGCAGCTGGCTACTTCAAAAGGCAGCTGAGTTCTCTGAAAAAATGACATTCAAGAAGGGTTTGTGGAAACTTCTACTACAGGGAAAATGAGGGTGAATTTGTGAGCCTGTGGGCTACTGCCCTTCAGGGCTCTGCGTCCCCAAACACTCCAGCATCTTAAAATCAAGGACAAACCCGCTTCAGGAGCACCACCTCTGCCAACAGCTTCGTGTGGCTTCATCCCTCAACATTTTAGACTTTAAAGCCTTCCTCCTCTAGCTCTGGTTCCGGACCAGTAGCCTCGGTGTCAGCTTTTTAAGAATGCAGATTCTTAAAGTAGGTCAACTGTGTTTTTAAATTGTTATAACTTCACACCTTTTTGAAATCTGCCCTAAAAAATTGGTTTGGCTTAAATGTCAAAGCCGTGACAATTTGTTCTTTTTTTTTTTTTTTTCCTTGCATTATGCGGGCCTCTCACTGTTGTGGCCTCTCCCATTTGCGGAGCACAGGCTCCGGACGCGCAGGCTCAGTGGCCATGGCTCACGGGCCCAGCCGCTCCGCGGCATGTGGGATCTTCCCGAAACGGGGCACGAAGCCGCGTCTCCTGCATCGGCAGGCGGACTCTCAAGCACTGCGCCACCAGGGAAGCCCGACAATTTGTTCTTTTTTTTTTTTTTTCCTGGCATTATGCGGGCCTCTCACTGTTGTGGCCTCTCCCATTTGCGGAGCACAGGCTCCGGACGCGCAGGCTCAGTGGCCATGGCTCACGGGCCCAGCCGCTCCGCGGCATGTGGGATCTTCCCGAAACGGGGCACGAAGCCGCGTCTCCTGCATCGGCAGGCGGACTCTCAAGCACTGCGCCACCAGGGAAGCCCGACAATTTGTTCTTTTTTTTTTTTTTTCCTGGCATTATGCGGGCCTCTCACTGTTGTGGCCTCTCCCATTTGCGGAGCACAGGCTCCGGACGCGCAGGCTCAGTGGCCATGGCTCACGGGCCCAGCCGCTCCGCGGCATGTGGGATCTTCCCGAAACGGGGCACGAAGCCGCGTCTCCTGCATCGGCAGGCGGACTCTCAAGCACTGCGCCACCAGGGAAGCCCGACAATTTGTTCTTTTTTTTTTTTTTTCCTGGCATTATGCGGGCCTCTCACTGTTGTGGCCTCTCCCATTTGCGGAGCACAGGCTCCGGACGCGCAGGCTCAGTGGCCATGGCTCACGGGCCCAGCCGCTCCGCGGCATGTGGGATCTTCCCGAAACGGGGCACGAAGCCGCGTCTCCTGCATCGGCAGGCGGACTCTCAAGCACTGCGCCACCAGGGAAGCCCGACAATTTGTTCTTTTTTTTTTTTTTTCCTGGCATTATGCGGGCCTCTCACTGTTGTGGCCTCTCCCATTTGCGGAGCACAGGCTCCGGACGCGCAGGCTCAGTGGCCATGGCTCACGGGCCCAGCCGCTCCGCGGCATGTGGGATCTTCCCGAAACGGGGCACGAAGCCGCGTCTCCTGCATCGGCAGGCGGACTCTCAAGCACTGCGCCACCAGGGAAGCCCGACAATTTGTTCTTTTTTTTTTTTTTTCCTGGCATTATGCGGGCCTCTCACTGTTGTGGCCTCTCCCATTTGCGGAGCACAGGCTCCGGACGCGCAGGCTCAGTGGCCATGGCTCACGGGCCCAGCCGCTCCGCGGCATGTGGGATCTTCCCGAAACGGGGCACGAAGCCGCGTCTCCTGCATCGGCAGGCGGACTCTCAAGCACTGCGCCACCAGGGAAGCCCGACAATTTGTTCTTTGATGTGATTGTATTTCCAATTTCTTGTTCATGTAAGATTTCAGTAAAACTCAAAAATCTATTCAAAACCAAGAATGTAGGTTCTTTGGCCCTACCCCACATGTACTAAATCAGCGTTTCAAAAAGCTTCCCCAAGTGATTTATATGTTCATTAAAGTGTAAGAAGAAATGGCGTAAAGAGTGTATTTATGGTAATTTCTTGAGTTTGTCATGTGTTCTAGATTTTAGAAATGCAGTTTTCAGACTTCTAGCCCGCCACGATACACAGGAGAGCACGGAAGAGTGGAAATGGAGCCTGAAGCCAAGAGACAGGTAAGTAGCACTTCTCCTCTTGAGCTTCACTGTTAGAAGTCTTAGTAAACTAAGGCAAATAAAGGTTGCCTGGAGATGTTCTGAGAAATGTTTGCGACTTTAAAGAAGAAAAGGGAGAATCTGAAAATCTAGAGAACGGAAGAGGATAAGCTTGCGAGACAAGCAAGAACTCTAGTGCTTCCTTTGCATCCTGTCTCTTTCTTAAGCTACTTTCCTTCACCCATCAAGCTATTAGAGAAACCAACCAAGCCTCGTTCACTCTAAAGTGTAAATGACTGATAAAGAGTTTCAAGAACAGCCAGTACAGTAGGCAGGAAACACTTAGAAATACCAAGGAATAGTAGCACAATGAAAACTGACCTAAAACAGTTTCTCAACCTCAGCACTACTCACATTTTAGGTCAGGGACTTCTTTGTTGTGGGGAGCTGTCTTTTATATTATAGAACATTTAGTTTCATGATGACCAAAGCTTTAGCGAGGGCAGGAAGGACCTGGAATATCTGTCAGCTTATGATCTTGGACCCAAAAACTATAAATGACAGTGGGGACAGTGTCTCCTTAGTAATAAATATAAATCATAGAGAATTAATAGAAGTAGATACACAACTGAAATCTAGGAGGTGAAAGAAAAGAACTGAGGTATGGGCCTATGTGGGGGGAAGAGGGTTCAGAAAGTCTGAGGTGGGGCCTGGGAATCTTTGTTTGGTGTGATTTAAAGACTTCCTCTTAAAGTCAGAGATATCTAGAACCTTTTATGGGTGTGAATATGGTAATCTAGGTATTTTAGTTTCTGCAATACATAAATCTAGCCATGTTTGGAAGCTGTTGCTTTATGTAGACCATGAGCCTCAAGAACACCTTGGCAAGAGGGAAGAGATATGGGAACATACATATATGTATAACTGACTCACTTTGTTATAAAGAAGAAACTAACACACCATTGTAAAGCAATTATACTCCAATAAAGATGTTAGAAAAAAAAAAAGAACACCTTGGCGGGGGAATTCCTTACTTGGGGTGTTGACTCCCAATGGTCTTGAACTCATTATCCCAGTTGGGCCGTCCATACAAGGTCTTTTGTTTCAGGCCTGTGATCACATCTTTCTCCTCGTCATGGTGCACAGCAAAGTGATTGGCCTGCAGGAAAGGACATGAATTCAGACAAAAGAGGCATGCTGTATAAACACACACAGATATACTTACATGTCTCACAAACCAAGCTCTAATTACCGTTCTAACTGTATGTATTTGGGGCAAGGCACCATGCTGGAAGCTAGAAGGTCAACACTGAACAAACCAGTTCTCAAGCAATTTACAGTCTAGAAAGGGAGACCATAGAGGAGGCACAGACATCTCAATGAGGACAAAGAAGGGAGCATGGGTGGGAGGATATGGGAAGGTTTCAGGGTGGCCACATTTGAGCCAGACTTTGAAGTGTGGGTAGGATTAAATTCTCTATCTCACTGTTTTTCTCTCTGTAGTACATCTGACAGTCTCTTCTCACCCTAATATACTCCCGCTCCTTTGGGAGAATCACTAAGAATTAAGACAACCATAGACTAAAATGTACTCATATTTTGGTAATGTAATGAGACATCAAACCAAGCCTAAAGCTACTCTCTGTATGTGTGTGTGTGTGTGTGTGTGTGTGTGCAGAGTCATGTGTTGTTTCCTGTGACCATTCTAGGGGGCCTCAGTTTGGACAACAGGTATTTTTTAAAAATAAAAATGGTTAATTACATTTATTTAACAATCAAATCAGATTTTAAATTCACTGGACAGGGAATGGATGATGGGGATGGAAGAGGTTAAGAAGGGTAGTTACCCTGGTTTGATAATCCTGTAGGGACAAAGTTTTGCAAAGCAAAATAACTATTTTTCAATGCAAAGAGATTTCCCACTGAAAAAACTGTGTCTGGCTTTTGAAAAAAACAAGACTGCCAAGCAATTTATATATTATACATTTTATCCCCCTGGGTTTCATTTTTATCAAATGTTGTTGTTGTTGTTTCGTTTTTAAATTGCAGAAGTGGCATCTTAAAAGCACTTTTTCTGGAGCAGCCATTTTCATGGTCATGTGTCCCTGGACCTACGTTTGCAACAAGCCTTTCCTAAGACTTGGAGAACCTATGTTAAGTGATATGCCAAAACCTAAATGAGAAGAAGTCGGTTTTCACAGGGACCAGGTGCCTGTGAAAACTGTCTTGGCTGAGGAGCCACTGTGTGGGGATGGCCATCTGAGGCAGTGGCCAGGAGTGGGCAGAGACCCTTGCCTTACCCCCTCACTCAGGGGGACAGTCATGCTGCTTCCAGGCCAAGTCATTAATGTTTGCTTATTTAGAAAGATGTTACCCCCTAGGAATCATTAACTTGTTTCTGAGTTTCTCAGTCTCATCACTTTGGACATTTGGGGCCAGATAATTCTTTGTCGTGGGGGGCTGTCTTGTGAATTGTGATTATCTTACCAACAATTGTAATTAACTGTGATTGTCTTCTCAATCGAAAATTCACATTTCCATTGCTAAATGTCTCAGGAGGGAGAAAGCATATATACATATACATATATACATATACACATACTACACACACATATATACATATACACATACACACACCCCTATATATATATATATATATATATATATATATATATATATATATATATCACCTTCATTAGATATATATTGATTTATTTACAAATGATAATCATGAACTACTGGGAGTACTAAGAATGAAGGTTCTGGAGCACTTATTACTTGGATGCCCTTGGACAAATGACCTAACCTGTTCTGGGCCTTGGCTTCCCCATCTGTAAACTCTGGAAAAGAATAATAGCTACTTCATAAGGTTGTTGTAAGGATTTAATTAGACTCTATGTAAACACTAAGAACAATACTTGGCACAAGCATATGCTTAATAACTATTGCCAGTTATTATGACTCCTTATTAAATGTATTATGTATAGTATAAAACATACATAAACATAAATTAAAGGAATATATACACATATATATGCATGTGTATACATATATATGCATGTGTATATATAAATACAGAGAGAGAGAGAGAGAGAGAGAGAGAGAGCTGATCTTTTCTCTGTTTTCTTCCCATAACCCCGTAGATCATCTTGTCCACCTGGTTCAATACCCCTGGTGGAGGCATTGCTCTAACAAGTTCAAAGTCATGGCTTTGATTCCCTTGTAGGTTCCCTAGCTTTGACCCGTCCCACAGATACCAACTTTGAATCTAATATCAACCGTCTGAACAAATGGGGACACTGAGTCAGAGTGAATGTGCTGGATCACCTGAACCCATCGACTGTTCTTAAAAACAGTACACAAGACGTTCCAATAACCAAGGGGAAGTCGGTAAGCCCTGGGCACTGTGGGAGGGACCTGAGATTGGGGGTCTTTTCCTCACCTGAGACTCATCCCAGCCAGTGAGGTGGATGTTGTAGCTGAGGAAGCCGGCGTTGTCCTTCTGCATCTGGGTCTCCAGCAGCTGCAGCAGGTCTGCAAACCACTCAAAGGCATGTGTGTCCCGGCACAGCCAGTAGAAGTAGATCTGAGAGGGGGACAGACCGTGAAGCAGATTATGTTTCTTTCTTTATTTTTATCTTTTTTTGAAGGATAGTTGATGTATAATATCATATAAGTTACAGGTGTATAATAGAGTGATTCACAATTTTAAAGGTTATACTCCATTTATAGTTATTATAAAATATTGGCTATATTCCCCATGTTGTACATTATGTCCTCGTAGCTTATTATTTTACACATGGTCGTTGGTACCTCTTAATCCCCTACCCCTGTCTTGCCCCTCCCCACTTCCCTCTCCCCACTGGTAACCACTAGTTCTTTCTCTATATCTGTGAGTCAAGCAGATTATATTTAAATAGGGACCTATCAGCATTGAAATATGGATTTCTACCCTCCCCATCTCCACTTTCCCCTGCTGCTCAGAATGCCTGGAAACATGGGTTTTCAGAAAGCTCTAGATATTTGACAAACTAGCTCACATGAACCTGCTCTGGCCTCCACACGGCAGGGCAGTAAATAAACAGCTTGTTCTCAGAAATCCGTAGCTTAAGAAGAAAACACTGGCCCACCACTTTCCCCCTGGGTCTGCTCTTGCCCTCCTAGGATCCCCGGCTTCCCTTGACCCTCGTCTCAGAAAGACCAATAGGATCTAGATGAGCCATGGCTGCCACCACGCTGCTTCCGTACCCGCTACTGGCAGACTTCCCTGAGTTCGTAGGGGGAAAAAGTAGTCCTACCCACACCCCCTCCACATCAAAAAGAGGGAAAGGGGAGGATGAAAAGTCAAGGTAAGCTCAACGTGCCTATTAGAGGTTATCTCTACAGCTATTAGAATGACTCAAGCTTTATTAAAGATGTCCTTTATTGGGCAATGAAGCCAAACTGACATGTAACCAAAAAATCCCCCAGGACTTTATTCTGAGGAGACAGCCATAAGAAAGTAAAAAAGTAGAAGTGTCACGAAAGGACATGTCTCCTGCCCTCCCCCTGCAAATAAATGTGCTGGGGGCTGGAAATGGAATCCATGTCAATATCTAACATAAGATGATAGAAAAATTATTCTATCTTCTCAATGGAACATGAAAGAATCATCAAATATGATTATCAGCAAGCTTGTGACAACAATGAAAAATACTATATGTTTTAAAAAGAGCAGGACGTGAAATTGTACATACTCAATATATACAGCTTTCTAAAAGTATGTAAACATGTTGGAAGAGAATTTACAAAAAGTCTAACTATTGGATTGGGGTTGTGAATACTTTCTATTCCCAACTCTCTTCTGAATTTCCAGTAATGCTATACAAATACAGTATATTTGTACTTTCAATAATAGGCTTGCTTATAGAGAACCACATTTATTTATTTGTTTGTTTGTTTATTTTTTTGGCTGTGCCACGCATGGCTTGCGGGATCTTAGTTCCCCGACCAGGGATCAAACCGGCACCCTTGGCAGTGAAAGCGATGAGTCCTAACCACTGGACCGCCAGGGAATTCCCAGAAGCACCTTTGACTTATCAAACAGCCCTTTTGTGCAAAGCCTGCCTCTCTGAAACTACCTAGAACTTGTCTTCACTTCCCCCAGTCTCTGCCAGCCTCTGCCCTGAAGGCTCTTTGAGGCTTCACTTGGCAGACTGTGGTGAATGCTCCAAGCCCTCTGAAAAAGAAAAGAACCTACCTTTTTGAGCCTCAGATTGGGGGCTTTATTGCAATACTTGTACCAGATCGACTTGAGAATGGATGCAAAGGGCGTGACCCCAATCCCTGCTCCCACCAACATCACCACCTCATAACTGAACACATCTTCACTGGCAGTGCCGAAGGGCCCGTCAACAGCTATCCTGGAGGGGAGCATGGGGGGAGATAGTTACACAGACACCTTGCTCTTCAGAGGAGGATGGGGCACACATTATCACTGCAGGTGTGCAACATGTCACTTCAAACTGGGACAATGTATTGATGTGACACTTTGTTCTGTGAGATAGCTTTCAAGTAACCAACTCAGTGTGAACATCGGGGTTGGAAGTAAGAAGAGGAATTTTTAGCTAACTGAAAACATTTGGTAACTCTCAGGGGTATTTTTTCATGTCCCCACCCCTGTTCACTCACTACGCGCGCGCGCGCACGCACACACACACACACACACACACACACACACACACACACACACAAATGTCTGTGTCTCTTGCCAGGTGAGCCCACACTTGAAATTCCTGCTTACACTGCACATTAAAGTGAGAATTTTCCATGTCATGATATCTTATAAATTTAATATCTCTACTTTATGTTGGTCTATTCACTGAGTTATTTGACATACTTTTCTTCAGCATCTACTAAGGGCCTGACACCATGTTAGGCGTGTGGGAAGGAGGCCAAGTGAGTAACATCTGGCATTTAGCCTCAAATAACGTACACCAATGAAATTTTAAGTATAGCTTTGATTGCAAGTTAATATACCTTGGCCTTGACCCTTACAAATTCATAGGCACTGGGGAATATCCATGATTAATATTTGATTCAAACATTTTATTCATATTCTTTATTTCATATAAGATTTATACATATATGCATAAACACAGCACACGTATAAAATGAGGAACACCGAGATAGCTCCCTATAGAATCTGTATGTTTTGTCAGACTCAGGACCTAGTAGAGTGACATTTTTCCTGAACTCACGCACCTTTGTAATAGGCGCTTTGTACTCACTTCGGTAGTTTCCAGGCATCTTGAAACTCCTGCTTATCACAGCCACAAGCTTTGAACAGTCCCTCCGTCCAGTCCCCCACGATGCGGATATGGATGCTAAAGAAGTCTTCCTCGGGGGCAGAGGTCAGGGTGAAAGGGTGCCACTCCAGCCTGGACACCACAGGGCACTTGACGAAAATGTATTGGCCTACCTCCATCTTGAATCCCTTTTTCTTCATCTGTAGCTCGATGGTTTTGAAAGGGTGAGTGACCACCTATGGAACAAAATGTGTCTCTGGAAATGAATCTTTCCCCCAGTACTTGCCTTTTCAGTATCCGTATGGATAAAAGGCTGAGCTAAGATGCCCCACCCAGGTCCCTTCTTCAGGGCCAACACAGCAGTTCTTCCAGCAAACCTGCCTCTCACTGGCAACTGCCCTCGGCTGTAGCCCATGGCCAACTATGAGCTGGGGCAGGGATCCAAAGGCCTGGTCCTTGTCCTCACTTTGGGACAACTCCCAGGGGCCATCGCAGCTGCAGCACTTCCTGTAGGATCAGCTGAGGCTGCAGTTGCGACCACTTCGGGCCAGCAATTTCCTTCCCCCAATCCTGCCTTTCTTTTCTTTTACAGGTTCATCTCCTGAGAACATGCCCTGATAAGAATTCTGCATGCAGTTCTCTGTCTCAGAGTCTTTGCCACGGAATCCAACCTAAGACACCAGCTTAATGTGATTTTTTTTTTCTCTGAGAAGACAAGGCAGCTGCTAGAAACAGGAAGAAGAGATGGTTTCCTGCTCAGCCTTCCTATCTCCCCAAGGGATGATCAAGAGCCTTAGCAGCCGGACAGAAGCAGAAGGAGACCCCATTGGCTAATAATATAGCAACATCGCCCAAACCAAGCCTAAGGTGCTGGTCTGTCTTTGTCCCAAGTCCCACCTTGAACCTGCCTGACTCCATGCATTGTTTTTACATTTCTCCCTACCCGGGGAATACACCATCCATCTCTCCCAAAGCCAGGCCCCACCCACCTGTTGCCATCCTCCTTCTCCATGTACCTGAATGTTCGTAACAGCTTTGTTTACAATAGCAAAAAAATTGGAAGCACTCCAAATGTCCATCAACTGGTAAGTTGGTAAATAACTTAACAAAATGATTTCATTGTAATATACAAAGTAATATGTTTCTTTGATGATTCCTGAGATCCTAGAGGGACTTTTTATGTGCAACTGAAAAAAAACCAAGGGACATCAAAGGAAAGAAAAATCAATAGAAACAAAATAGTAGATTCCTAATGTTGACTGATATACACGAGCTTTTCTTTTCACCCGTATTTCCAAAACTTGTGATTCAAATATAACTTATATGACAAGGCTGTAACCAACTTCCCTTCATCACTGAAATAAGGAGGTGTAGAGCTTCATTTTGAAACAGAAAATAAAAATGGATGAAAATGAGTTTGAAAATTATGTTGCTCACGTTGCAATTTTGTGTGGTGAGAATGCGTTCCACCGTATTGCAATTTTGCTACCACAGGGAACATCGGGATAGAAGGGAATAAAATGCACTAGTGGACAGCGTTGTCACCAGAATACTTTTGGATAGTACCTTGTTTCTTATGTGTGTTTACGTGAGAAGAAAATGAATACCTATTTTCTTCACAGGCAAACAAGTTTGCCTTAGAAATAGGCTTAGAGGAAATACTTGTCTGGTTAGTTCGTTCTAGTCTAATAAGGGAAATCTTGTGGTGGCTCTTTTTGCTGATCTGTGGGCTTTTTCTCATAGTACAATATAAATATCATAAAAGGAGAACTGTTGTGGCTTCCTATATTTCAAGGTTTCCAACGCCAGCTGGACTAACTTTACTATGACCTTCCATAGAGGCCAAGAAAGAAGAGCTAGGGTGGTGGAGTGGAAGATTTTGTGTGTTTTGCGAAAGCAACCCATGGTAAGCTTTTGGTAAATACTTTCTGAACTGAACTGAATTAAATTTTATTTGATTAAAAATAGTCCTGTCTGATGTTTCTTGAAACTATAATAAGCGATTCCGTTTCTATTTATTTAGTTGGATATTTATTTATTTAATGATAAGAAGCAGCATAGACGTGTGGGGAAAAACCACTATATACTTGAAGTTAGCGGACTCAATTCTAAATGCAGTTTAGTTATTAGCTCACTTGAGACTTTGAGTACATTAACTCTGATACTCTGTGACTGTATACAAAGCACAGAGACCTGCCCTCGGTTCCCTGGTTCTTTTGGCATCTGAATATTTTAAGGCTCAGTGCATGACCTTTTGAACTCACCTCTTTTGCTTCTTTACCCTTTTTTTTTTTTTTTTTTTTTTTGCGGTACGCGGGCCTCTCACTGTTGCGGCCTCTCCCGTTGCGGAGCACAGGCTCTGGACGCGCAGGCCCAGCGGCCACGGCTCACGGGCCCAGCCGCTCCGTGGCATGTGGGATCTTCGCGGACCGGGGCGCAAACCCACGTCCCATGAATCGTCAGGTGGACCCTCAACCACTGCGCCACCAGGGAAGCCCTGCTTCTTTACTCTTAACTAATCACATCATCTCTCTATGCTCCTCCCCTCTACACACACACACACACACACACACACACACACACAGGGATTCATTTACACAAAACATTTGGGTTCACTTTTCAACAGAAAATGTTAACTTCTAGTTTCCCAATTAAAAGGCCCAATCATTTGATTATCAAGCTAGGTACATTGGAAACAAACTGTAGGTCATCTCTCTGCCCTAAGTTTAATCAAAAGAAACTGAGTAAGTGAGATCTGACAATGATATAGAAAACTTGGATAGACTTGTCCATGATATAGTTAGATAGTATTAGTAAGTCCTAACCCAGCCAATACCTTGGTGATGACCACCTTCTGTTGAGATCGCCAAAACCGTACCAACCTCTCACAGAGATACAGGAACATGGGACCCACTATCCATTTCCAAGTCTGTAATCAGAGCAAACAAAGAAAAAAGGATGTGTTAAGGGGCGGTAGTTGATAAAAGATTCATGGGGACAAAACATTTTAGAAGTCAATTCACCTTTTTTGGTTTGTTTAAATATTCCATGATAGACTAGAAAATTTCTTCTATAAAGGAATGCATGAAAATATCTAAAGTTAAAATAAATTTTTAAGCCAGTAAAAATGAACATTCTCCTTGCCCACATTGGGGAACTATATCTACAGTATGGAACTTTCCCAAGAGGAACTGCCCACAGGAATGGGATTTCCTCCTATTGTCGCAATAGGAGTTGCAATAACCCTACAGCAGAGTAAGGTTGGTTTCAGAATTAACATTTCTCTAGAGGATAGCATTTCAACAACATCATATTTTTAATGCAACGTTGCAATTACTTTCTCTTGGTCACGTAGCCAAAGCTTCATTCTTTGCAAGATGAGAAATTCCACGCTAGGATTTAGCTCTTCCTCCAATATCCTGGCAAGTTCTAGGAGCTATGCAATGCACTTTCCCTAGGGTGCTCTCTTGTCAGAATCTGCAGTGTTTCAGAACACTGGAATTACCCCGTGGCATTACTGGCTATACAAAAACATTTAGGCCAAACAGATCCATCCTGGGATTCAGTCAGTTAGGTTCCTGGATGAATATCTGCAGTAGCAAAGAACTTTACAAGTCGATATCATCTAAAATACAACATTCCACAAGGGATTCCAAGAGGGAAAAAAAATCCCAGAGTGCTTCCCATAGTCTCGCCTATGATCTTTCTATGAAAATTTTTAAGAAAGTTATTGTTGGAAGTTGAGAGCACCCAAATGTCCCTATCTCCAGCCTAAGTTGAAGAATATCTGCCCGGAAGTCATAAATGCTCTGCTACTGGCTTTCATTTTCACAGGACAGTTTTTTCAAACGGTCTAGCATCATCCATCTATGTCCTGGCTGCCACCTGGGGCCCCACTGAATGGAGCCAGCTCTTGGACATCGCTTCTAATCTCCCCAGAAACCCAGGAGCTCCTCCGAGGTAGATGCCTGTGAAGGTAGCAGCGCTCTGACTTAGCTGTTTTCAAGGAAATGTGCCTTCCCCAGCTCATGAGAGGACCTGCAATAGAGTTCCCTTTTAATCCTTTCTATTGATGTCTGCATGTAGTGGGGGTAGTTCACTGATGTGTCTGCTTGCTTTCATTAATGAGCAAGGATGCTGAAAGATGTTGAGTCCGCAGACAGCATGCTGTTTCTAGAGGAAGAGTACTCCTATATTATGAGAGTCAGAATAAAGGAAGGAGAAAATGGGATGGGAAATTTGCCTTTATATTATACTGTGCTTAAGGACAAAATAATCATCCTCTTCAGAAGCCCTGTACAAAAGTTGATTTTTGCTTAGTTTTATACCAATGGCTAGCATAATAACCAATATACCAAAATGGCTAGCATAATAACCAATATGCCAAAGTATATTGCTTGCCAGTGGGGGAAAAGGTATGAAGATCACAGGGTCCACTGCTCACTCTATGGAACGGAGATATTACGAATAAACAAAACAGAGTTCTTCAGAGCTCCCAACAAAAGGTAAATATTTCAGCATCTTTTCCCTTGGTCATCCTTGCCACACTCCTGCTTTACCACGAAGTGCCAATGGCATGACCCTGGCTCTGCAGCCTCCTTTATGCCTCATAGACGGGACCTCCTGATACCTAATGGCAGCCCTATGTGCCACCTCACCAATTTCCTTCCCAGCTCTGAAAGCTGTATAGAAAGCCTTACTTCCTGGAATCTGAAGAGGCTCCTGCCTCCTTATAAATCATAATCTGAGCTCTCCAACTCAGCTCAGGATGGAATCCCTCTGAAAATCATTAACTGGTATTATTGTGGCCATCACAACCAGAAGAGAAGAGGTAGAACTTCTTCTTGAAACCAAAAGCACTTTAAAAAACAATACTTTTCCAAGTTTTATATCAGGATGTTCCTAACAGACTAATGTAAAGCTTACTTTTCAAGAACTAATTCTAGACAATAAGCATGGCAGCAAAACACTGGATACTTATAACATCCTAGCAGTTCCGTGACATTCATAACAGACAACTCTATGACATTTTTATCTCTTTCTTAGACACAGTTTGAAGATTGTTGGTAATGAAACTATAATAGCTACAATGAATTGTACATACCATAGGAGGGTTCCCAGAGAACTCTGGGATTGGGCAGTCCTTTATTTTTCCCCATTGTGAGATGTTTTGATAACATTCTCTTGGCTTGTGTTTCAACAAACTCTCTGCGGTCTGCCCACGTACAATTCGCCTGAGGAGGAAATGTAAGTCCAGACCATTTAGAAACAAGAGATTAAATTCTTAGTTTTCTGAGATTCTGACATATTTTTATTAGTATTCTCATATGGTTCCTATACTTTTCACTTAAAAGTAATACTTCTTGCCCCCTCCAAATAGATTAGAGGAAGGGAAAGAAAATTCATGATCTTTAGCAATAGAAAAAAAAAATATGGGGACTTCCCTGGCGATCCAGTGGTTAAGATTCCATGCTTCCACCGCAGGGGTTGTGGGTTCGATCCCTGGTCGGGGAACTGAGATCCCACATCCCACATGCCGTGCAATGTAGCCAAAAAGAAAAAGAAAAAGAAAAAAAATATGTACAGTGGCACAAAGGATATTTATATGTAACATTATAGAGGGTAAGTTTTGGATCATCAGTACATGTTTTCTGAAAGGCAACATTTGTGCTTCTGTTTCAAGTATTATTCTCATTTATAAACAAACAAATAAAAAGAGAAAAACTGCAAATCCAACAGAGCAACCGCTGGCCCATACAGTACCATGGTGCAAATTAGAACAAGATGCCCCCTCTTTTTTTTTTTTTTTTTTTTTTTCGGGCCTCTCACTGTTGTGGCCTCTCCCGTTGCGGAGCACAGGCTCCGGACATGCAGGCTCAGCAGCCTTGGCTCACAGGCCTAGCTTCTCCGCGGCATGTGGGATCTTCCCCGACCGGGGCACGAACCCGTGTCCCCTGCATCGGCAGGCGGACTCTCAACCACTGCGCCACCAGGGAAGCCCAAGATGCCCCCTCTTTGAGGACAGCTCTAGAGGCAAGAGCTTGGCCAGCAGAGCATGGGCTAATTTCTTTCCCCGTGGCCAGGCACCCTTATGTAGTTGACAACCCATACAACCATATACAGTAGCCCTGAGGCTTAGTACAAATCTTTCATTTGTTCTTTCAAAATCGTCTAAATTCAACCAAAACGTTGAAATCCACTTAAGACGACTTAATTTTGTAGAGATTATGCCTTTCTCACAGACATCAACGCTGATGGTGTGTCCCTTGAAGTGCTCGGAGCCCATTCACTTCAATTCAATAAATATTAATTGAGCAACTACTAAAACATAAGACAATGCAGGTTGAGTGGGAACAGAGGGAGGGAGGCACAGAGTTAAGTCATGTCCCTGACCTGAAGGAACATAAATGACAAGGTCTTCAGAATATATAATAATAAGAGACACAGAAGGCCCTTTGCTTGGGGGACCTAAAAGTTTGTTTGGGGGACCTAAAATTTATTACGCCAGTTGGTATATTCAGAGGATGTTTTAATTCAAGGTCATTAACCATCGCTTTCTATCCCTAGGTCTTGGGGAAGAGAATTACCATGTATTGAGCATCTATCACATGCCAAGCCTGGGAAAGGCACTGTATACAAATTATTTCAGGTAATTCTCATAACAGGCCTGGAATGTAAGTATTAGTACTCTCATTTTATGTATGAGGACACCAAGGCTTAGAGAGACCAGGTAACTAGAAGCAGAATGATTTGGTGAAAGCAGTTCTGGACCCAAGCCAGACAGCCTTGGTTTCACATCCCGCGTCCACCCCTTGCTAATTTGGTGGCCTTAGGCAAGTTATTTAACTTCTTTTGAGCCTCAGTTCCTTCAGCTATAAGATAGGTATAAGTACCTCATTAAAAGTTCGTTTTAGTAATCAACTGGCATGATGCATATAAAACGCCAGACACAAAGTCAGCGTCCAACAAATGATAACTATTTATTTATTATTTTTAGAAAGATATTCGCCATGTATTTCTTCTTTAGGTCTTTTTTTTTAATTAACTTATTTGTATGTTTTATTTTTGGCTGTGTTGGGTCTTCGTTTCTGTGCGAGGGCTTTCTCTAGTTGCGGCAAGCGGGGGCCACTCTTCATCGCGGTGCGCGGGCCTCTCACTATCGCGGCCTCTCTTGTTGCGGAGCACAGGCTCCAGCTGCGCAGGCTCAGTAGTTGTGACTCACGGGCCTAGCTGCTCTGCAGCATGTGGGATCTTCCCAGACCAGGGCTCGAACCCATGTCCCCTGCATTGGCAGGCTGACTCTCAACCACTGCGCTGCCAGGGAAGCCCCAAATGATAACTATTAAAGCTCTTAATGTTCAAGTTCACTTGGGGAGTAAGTGATAGAAAAAAAATCGGATTTTCTCCTTCTCTTCTCAATGCCAGGACCGGAAGTCGGAAAACCTGGCTTTTAATCCCAGTTTAGCTGCTACCTAGCCAGGAGACCGAGCAATCAGCCAACCAGCATAAGTAGCAGATTCTCCTCAGATGGAGAACGGGGTACATATATCTCCTCTGCCTGCTCCAGAGGAAAATACATATCTATGAAACTATACAAACGTAAAGTGGTGGAATTACTAAGCTAGAGAGGGGAAGAAATTCAGTTTGTTTGTTTGTTTGTTTTCTCTAGGATCTTCTGAAACAGCTGGATGATGACCGAGTCCCATTTAAAGATACTCAAATGCTTTTAGGAGAGTTAAGAGAGTCTTTGTCTACACAGATTTTCCAGTGCTTAGAAAGAGATGACCAGGCGTCAGGGTCAGCAAGTTGATCAAGAATGCACTTGAGGACAGGGAACAATATTCAGTATCCTGTACTAACCTGTAATGGAAAAGAATCTGAAAAAGAACTGATATGTATAACTGAGTCACTTTGCTGTACATCTGAAACTAACACAACATTGTACATAAAATAAATTTTAAAAAAAGAATGCACATGAGGGGTTGCCACAGGCTGCTTCTCTCCACCCTTCCCCATTTTAGGTCTCAGCCACTTCTAGGCTGACTTGACTCAGACCAGAGTCATTGAGCCTTGACACCTACTTCCTCCACCCTTAGTTATCTGGAGCCCCATGCCCACCGGGGAACTTCCCAGGCCTGCTTTTGCGTGCAGGTGGGAGAATCAGCTAGTGTGAAAGAGTAGAAAAAGGAAGCCTGGTATGAAAGAAGGGTCCCAATAAGGCAAACTCTCCCAGCCACACATCCAGGCACCGTGTGTCTCTATGAGAGCATTCATCATGGCCTGCCTTAGCCCATCCGGTCTCCAACCCCAGCTATGCCACGGATAAACTGGCAGTGGCTTGGCTACAAACTTTACCTTTTTTAGTCTGTTTCCTGGTCTACAATTTCCCCTGGAAATGGGGATAGTAAGGGCATCTCTACCTTTTGGAGAGTAAAAGAAACATTTCATGTCTGTAACAAATGCTCAATAGAAGCTAGCTTTTCCCCTTATTATGTTAGGATGCTTGAAGGCAATAACCATGTACTTCTCCTTCTAGTATTCCCCACAGTGCCTGACATAGGTCCTCATACACAGTAGGCAATCGGTGAATGATTGGCTTGAATCAAAACTCATTGAACGGGGACTTCCCTGGAGGCTCAGTGGATAAGAATCTGCCTGCCAATGCAGGGGACATGGGTTCGAGCCCTGGTCCGGGAAGATCCCACATGCCATGGAGCAACTAAGTCCGTGTACCACAACTACTGAGCTTGCGCTCTAGAGCCCGCGAGCCACAACTACCGAAGCCCTGAGCCCTACAGCCCGTGCTCCGCAACGAGAGAAGCCACCGACTGCAATGAGAAGCCCGCGCACTGCAAGGAAGAGTAGCTCCCGCTCGCCACAACTAGAGAAAGCCCACATGCAGCAATGAAGACCCAACACAGCCAAAAATAAATAAAATTAAACAAACAAAAAAACTCATTGAACGACAGCAAACCCTTTCACCTGATTAATCATTAACCTCTCTGGTTTGGGAGCTTGTCTAATTTTCTAGGGATCAAGCCACAGGAAACATCATTGGAGACATCCAAGACCCTGTCAGCACTCTCAGCGTGCTTTCTATACGCTTGCAAAGATATTCAAAACTTTGGTGTGTTTTTCAAGCTTGCTATAAATAACCGCACTATGAATAGTTATGAGTCGGGTACCAGAAACTAAAGTGGTGCTGAGTGGTTTCTATCAAAGTGACTTCTGTTTTCCCCTCATATTCCCTCAGCAGACAGGCTAACCACACACAGACAGGGCGGTCACTGTGCCTCTAACAGAGCATCACATCTGGAAACTGATGGACATAAAATACTTGGTCTTGGAGTTTAAATACTCACTCAGCTCCATGGATGGCAAGGCCAATGAAGAAGATCACAAAGAGATGGTGTGTGCACCAAAACACTTCAAAGTAAGACCTCCTGATGGTTTTGGTGGAGGAGGTGATAATTAATATGAGGCAGAGTGTGATGACAACTCCAGTGATGCCTGCCAACCGAGTCACAGCCACGTACAGGCCTCCTTCAGGATTCTGTAAAACACACACACACACATTATTTGTAGGCTCTCAAATGCAGGGCTACCTATTTATAAAGTGTCCAGTGAATAAGGCAATAGGCATTTTCATCCCCCCTTTAGATTATCCTAAGCATCCCCCCAACAGAGTGGTATAGAATTGGGATAGATATTTCCAAATTTAAAAAAGTCTTACATCTTCTTTATCCATTCATCTGATGATGGACACTTAGGTTGTTTCCATCTCCGTATATACAATGGAATATTACTCAGCCATAAAAAGAAACGAAATTGAGCTATTTGTAATGAGGTGGATAGACCTAGAGTCTGTCATACAGAGTGAAGTAAGTCGGAAAGAGAAAGACAAATACTGTATGCTAACACATATATATATGGAATTTAAGAAAAAAAATGTCATGAAGAACCTAGGGGTGTGAGACAGGAATAAAGACACAGACCTACTAGAGAATGGACTTGAGGATATGGGGAGGGGGAAGGGTAAGCTGTGACAAAGCGAAAGAGAGGCATGGACATATATACACTACCAAACGTAAGGTAGATAGCTGGTGGGAAGCAGCCACATAGCACAGGGAGATCAGCTCAGTGCTTTGTGACCGCCTGGAGGGGTGGTATAGGGAGGGTGGGAGGGAGGGAGACGCAAGAAGGAAGAGATATGGGAACATATGTATATGTATAACTGATTCACTTTGTTATAAAGCAGAAACTAACACACCATTGTAAAGCAATTATACTCCAATAAAGATGTTAAAAAAAAAAGTCTTACATGGTTGAGGTATCGTAGGAAATATCAATTGATACACAGAAATAGTTCTAAGGGAGTATCAAATAAAGTATCAACTATATGTCCTAAAAGGCTCTGAAGCTCTTTCTCCCTTTGATTTGAAAAGTGTCATAGTGCTTAGTTTGTAAATGTATTCTGTGCATGCCTAACATCTTAGGCTGGGTTCCTCCAAAGCAGATCCTGAGATCCTGAGCAGAGAGGATTTAGAAAGAATGTGCTCCAGAAGAAGCTGGTAAGGGGATGGTTAATAGGATAGGAAAGAGGAACAAGTCAGGTAAGAGGGTGATCTCGGGCCAAATTTTCAGCCTGATGCTGCAGGGGAACTGTGGAGGGTAAATTACACCTTAGAGTTTATCCTGACTCAAGGCAAGGAAGCTGGGTTTTCATGGCCTGCACCCATCAGTTATTGGTTAAGATATGGGCAAAGGGACTTTGGGCAAAGGGACTCCAGTAGCCCCAGGGCAGTCCTTTGAGGAACAAAAGCAAATAGAGGAAATTGAAAGTGAAAGCACACAGAAGGGTAGGGGAGCACAGACATAGTAAAAGTGATCTGAAGAGATGTGGGCACAGCACTGCAGTGTCAGCTCACTCGATATGCTCACACTGCCACCCTTACGTATAATTGTACAATGAACAAGTAAAAGAAAAATTATCCAAGACATTATAGAAAAAGAATTTCTATTTTATTTGAGGTGGTTTAATTCTGTCCCTAAATAGACCAGGCACATTTTTTTATATCAGCCTGAGGATAATTATTTCTACAAAATCATGGAACTTTTCTTGTAATCTATTCTAAACAGACAAGGAAACATGTTTGGAATTCGGTGTATAGTGAGTGATGTGATTCGGCTATCCTCCCAAACCACTGGGCACATGAAGATGACTTACAGCTTCTCCCTCTGAGTGTAGAAAGCCTCAGCAACTGCTGGAAGGGAAAAAGTCCTTGCCTGAGGAATCCCCAAATGGCTGCCCCGGAGCAATTAGCAGACATAGGCCACCTCTCAGATGTTGTAGGCAAGAAAGAGGAAAAGCACTGCTGACAGATGTCAGCTGGTGGCTGACCTGGTATTAACACCTCAGCCAGAGGGTTCCCTATTTCACATAAACAATTTCATAGAACACCAACATCAGATAAGGTCATTCTGTCACTGTGATGGACTGACACCAAAACGAGACCACTCTGAAATCTTATCTGAGCCAAGACAAAAACATGGGTGACTGCTGCTTCTTGACCTATTACAGATTTAACCCCATTCTTCTGCCTCCAAAAAAAAAATTATTAAGATACCCAATGCTGGAACTGTCCCCAGTTCCTGACCATACCTGATCCAGAGCAAATGCTTGCTTCCTGAAACCCCTCCTGAATCATCTAACACAAGTCCCACAGCAAGCCTTTCTCAACACCCTGCTGAGATGCCCCAGACTTCCTCATAGTGTGAGGTCTCTTTGCTGCAGTAAGTAATAAACTTAACTTTGTTTGACTAGACTATGTTCCTGGCTTTCTTTAACTGTTGGGCATTGCCATGGATAGGCCTGTGTTACTCCAGGCTCCACGTATACACATTCTTACAGGTGACTTTAAGAAACGAGAACATCTAGTAACCCTCTACATATGGGATCAGGAGTGTGGGAGACATTTTCTCTGTGGCCACATTCTTAGAACCTACAGAATTGTCCCTCTGATAGTGAACTTTTGTTATTGTCATTGTTCTGACCAAGTAGAATTCTTCACTCACTGAAATCTAATCCTCAGTTTTAATGTCTACAGAACATCTGAATCAGGAAATAAGAGGCTTACCTTAATTCTCTGTCGAACAAAATTGAGGTAAGTTTCACCAGGCTTATCTCCAATGTCAGAGAGTGCTATTGAATAAGGGTCAGAATTGTTGACTCGGGCATTGACACACCACTCCACATTAAATAGATGTGCAATGGTGTGAATCGCTGAAGAGGGCACAGAAGAGAAACAAAGAGGGTTAAGTGTGTGTACAATTTTATTTGTAGCTGGGTTTCTGGCTGCAGCCCCTGACTCTACGATAAGTTAGTGGAGATTTGATAAGGATCCCTTCTTACACCACCACCACCACCTTAATAATTATAATAATAACACAAAATACACATAAACACACGAATACTATCATATATACATATGTGTGTGTGTATATATATATATATATATATATATATATATAAACAATAATAAAAAGAAAGTGTTTAGCTAATAAAGGCTATCTTAAGAAATTCTCAACTTATGGGCTATGGCCCTTGTAGGGTTATTGCAAGAAATCCATGAATCTACGTGTTCAACCAAGTATTTAAAAGATGAATGAATAAAAGCTCTCATATATGGACTAACAAACAATTTTGATGTTAAAAAGTGTGTAAAAGGGTGAATACACTGGGATTTTATCAGAAGAGCCTAAGGGAAAAAAGTTTTAAGACCTGAAGGGACAAATCCTAGTGTTGGGATGGCAGAAAGAGTGGCGAATATTTTTTCACAGAACTCATTCAAAAAGTACACCTCCAATCACCACCTAATCTACCTGCAAAGGCTGATCCCTTATCTTAAAAATATCTTAGAGGGAACACTCTGGTTCCAAGTTTTCTTTGCAATCTCAAATATCTTAATGAACATACCAGTGTGAAGTGCAATCATCCATGCCACCATTTTATGAAAGGTGAGGTTCCTGTCCAGTTGTCTTCGAATTCTTGTTGAGCAGCACTTTGGATTAAAGGGAAAAGAATGAAATCGTAATTGTTAACAAGAAAGTTTTCTCTGTGCCAGGCATTAGAAACATATCATCTCATTTAATTATGTCCACCCTAAAAACTACATCATTCTACCCATTTGACAGATGAGAACACTGAGGCTCAGATAGATGTAGTCATCTTCCCGAGGTCAAACAGCCAGTAAGTGGCATGGCTGGCTTAACCAATGTTTTAGGTTCTCATACTATTAACATAAAAAGCCTCTCATGGAATCCATTGCTTAATTGTATAAAATATGAATTTGGACAGAAAACATCTAACTACATAGTTTCTAGTTCAGATTAATTTATTCAATAACGAGGGGATATAGAAATTTTAAAAGGACAGGGCTGCCCTCAAAGACCTGAAGGTCCATGGGGACACAGACAAGTGAACAGTTCTAGAACAAGTGAACAGTTTTAGAATAGCACCCTTCCAGGACATAGACACTATGAGAGGAGAAAAAAAGTGTCCACGTGCATATGTTAATAGAGACAACATAACAAGGGAGATCATTAACAAAATCAATCATAGCAAAAATAATAATAGTACTTACAAAGAACCTGTGCAAGGAGCTGCTTTAAGTGTTTTTTTTTATTGTTTATAAAATTTTTGACTGCACCGTGCAGCACACGGGATCTTAGTCCCCTGACCAGGGATCGGACCTGCACCCCCTACAGTGGAAGCGCAGAGTCTTAACCACTGGACCGCCAGGGAAGTCCCTAGGAGCTGCTTTAAGTGTTTTACATGCATCGACTCATTTCATTCTTACATTAATCCTATGTGGGAGGTACCATTATTATCACCACATGACAGATGAGGAAACAAAGGCATAGAGAAGTTACCTTCCCTTAGGTTGCATAGTTAATAAGTGACAGAGCTGAGGTCTAAACCCAGGCTATCTGATGCCAGAGATATCAACATTCTGATATTTCATACCTTTTATGATTACCTTGGCATTAAAATGGCATTTTGGTCAATTGGTTAGTGTAATTGTCCTACCGACATACGTTAGAAGATGTGGGTTTGAATCTGGATTCATGTCAATGCCCAAAGTAGAGAAAAAAACCCAAACCAAACCTGGTTTCTGGTTGAATCAGACAGAGCTTTGTTCTCCTGAAAAGTGGTCAAGTGCTCGCTCTGGAAGCTTTGCTTCCAAGGCTAGATGTACTGCCATAGAGATCCAGAAAACTTTTAAGGAGAACAGAGTGAAGTGCAAAAAACCCCCAAAACAAAGCAAAAAGCTCAGGTATTTTAAATACCTGGTTCCAAACATATTCAATTTCAACATACGGGTATTAAATATTTGGCTTACTTATTTTTAATAAAATGTTCTGGTTTTATAGAAAAAATAGAATTGCATAGAAAATTGTGCTTACTCCACTATCTCTGAGTTAGCTACATCTAGGGAGGGCAGGCTGTTTGGATCATGAAAGCAGGTTCCTGGAACTGCAGAAATACCAGTAAGGAAGACACTGAAGACTTCAGAGAAAGGAAAAAACATTTAGGCTTTATTGAGTGCCTTCTGTGAGCCAGGCAGTTTACCCATAATCATTGCCTCATTTAATGTAACCAGAGAGGTATTACTGTCCTTATTTTACAGATAACAAAACTAAAGCTAACTCTCACATTGGCTGGGATCCAGGACTATTTGTCTTCAAGGTTCATTCCCTTTTCCATCAAACCAAATGTAAAGATACAGTCACTATTACTCTACATGTCTAAAAACCAAGACAAGAAGTTAAGTGAAAGTACTCTATCTGGAAACTGAGGTTAGAGGGAGTAAGTTTGGGAAGGGAAGGAAACAAATAAAGGGTGTATTAGCACATCAGCTACCACTACCATATCTTATCAGCAGGCTCTCCGATCAGGGAACTCTGGGAGACTGTGTAGGATACGCCCCCAGAGGTTTGTTACCTGAGGGGTTAGGAAACTTGGGTAGTCTCTACCAACTCCTATCCATCATTGGCTGAGGGCTCTTCCCAGGGCATCAACTCCCTGGCATTTCCGGCTTGCCCCAGGAGAGGGCTGAAAGAAAATCCTCAGGCAGAGAATGACCTGAGCTGGCAGAAGACAGCTGCCCCATGTACTGGAACTGACAGTGCAGAGGGAATACGGGTGGAACCCTACCAGCAGCAGCTACAACAAATTGTTCACCGGTGACTCAGGCTCTCAAAATAAGGGTTTCCTGGTTGAAATCACTTCTTTTACACTTCTGTTGGTGAAGAATTGACTGTCCTGTTTTCTTTTATAGCCTCATTGTCTTTTGTGTTTATTTCAAGCGCCGTACATTGTTTTACTCCTTTGCAGTTTTTACAGTTTTAAGGAAATATATTTTTCCTGCTTCCTGATTGCTAGGTTCCTCCACAGCTTCGTAGAGTCCTTGTGGTAGGCAGAATTGTAAGATGATCCCCAATGACCTTATGTAATATCCTCCCCTTGAGTGTGGGTGAGACCTGACCTATAACTATGGTAGGATGACACTCCTGTGATTTTGTTACGTTATATGGAAAAAGGGATTTTGCAGAGGTAATTAAAATCCCAAATTGACCTTAAGAGAGAGATTATCTGGGTGGGCCTGACCCAATCACACGAGACCTTTAAATCTGGGTCTAAAAGTCAGAAATCTTAGGTGCAAGAAGTATTTGATACGCTGCTGCTGGCTTGAAGATGGAAGGGGCCACATGGCAAGGAATACACCTCGGATCTGAGAGCAGCCCCAGAGTAACTGTCAGCAAGAGACAGGGACCTTAGTCCTGCAGCTGCCAGGGACTGAATTTTGCCAACAATCATTCTTGTTGGCAAAAGCCAAGAGCTTGGAAGATTTTACCCAGAGTTTGCATATGAGTATTCAGCCCAGTTGACGCCTTGATGTCAGCTTTGTGACACCCTGAGCAACAGGATGCTGGACTTCTGCACAGCTGTGAACTAGTAAACGGGAGTTGTTTTAAGCCTCTAAGTTTGTGGAAATTTGTTACACAGAAATAGATCATTTAATACAGTCCTCATTGGAGTGATAGACGCAATTGGAGTCCCAAGAATGAGAGAATGGGAATTAGTAGGGTCAGAAAGCAATTTGCCATCAGATATACCTGTGTTGGACCCCAGCCCTACCACCTAGCTGTGTGACATTGAACAATATGCTCAGTTTCCAGCTTTCTCACCTATATATTTATCATAATTATTCCCTCGTAGGTCTGTTTCATAGATTCATTGAGAGGTATTTAATAAACACTCGATTTTTTTTTTTGGTATCATTATTTAACTTTTCAGCTAGTATGGCATGGCTCCCCAGCTAGAGGGTAAGCGTCCTGTGTGCAGAGCAATATATCATGTATTTTTAACAATCCTTTCATAACTATTTGGTTAAATGACACTTTCACTGTCCTAGAACCCACGACAATTATTCTAAACCTAAAGAGATGTATTTACCCACATATCTATACATGCCAAACGATTTTCTTTTCTACTTCCAGACAAATTGTTTTGAAACTTTTGGGGGAAAAGATACTTGCTCCTGCATGCTGAATTTGAAGAAAAGGAATGCGGTTTTGTCATGGTCTCTACACTGTCTCCATAGTTCTACCCTTATCATCATCAACATGGATCATCAAAAATATGAAACAATAGATTTCAATGCCTCTTATCAGCTTGAGCAACAAACTGTTAGAGAAAAGTTAACTGAGTGCCAGAAAAATGGAGAGATGTGCTTGGGAAACACAAGGTCCATTCAGTAATAGTCTGATCTTAATAGGTGGTTTAAAAAAATGCTATTTCGTATGAAATACATACATTTTATTAGAAGAAAAAACGGAGACTCTTAGTCACTAATGAGTTAGTAGAACTAACTAAGGTCCTACCAGGGCACCAACCCCTCATCTTTCCAAGCCACCCTCTATAGTGTGGTCAGGAATGGCAAACACATCCAAAGAGAAGCCGTAAGCCATGATTATACGGGGCTTCCAGATATAATTTCCTCATCATTTCCTGACAAGGGGGCAAGATGGCTGGTTGGTGGGGTAGAAAGGGAGGGCTTTGCTGCCTGTGACTGCCCAGGGCTTTTTTCTCCCTCCCTACCATGCAGAAACCATTTTTATGATTTTGAGTCACTTGTGAATTACCGCCAGCCACCTACTAATTACCCAAGCTGCCACCATGCACAACAGCTTCCTCGCCAAACAACTGCTTTTCTTTTTGCCACTGACTTCTAAAGGGAAGTTCCTCTGTTACTCTCAACTAGAGCCTTGCCCAATCTCAATAAGCTAACATTCAAGTGCAAGGGAGATTACTGAGTTATCTCGGCCGCTTGCTACGCTCGATTCAAACTGTGAGAGCAAAAAAATTCAAAACATTGAGAAATGGAACAAAGAAGTGCATATTTAATGGGGCAAAACATTAGCTTCTGTAACATGAGTGTTATGGAAACTTTCAAGTTCTATTTTATGTACACCTGGTCTCGCCACAGGTGCCATGAATGAATCTGAATTAGATATTTATATGCAGTTTGAGAGAAATTGCAAAAGCCAGCCTTGAATCTACAGAACTCAGGCAAAGAAACTGACAGTAATGTTGAGACCTGGTGGCAGTAGAATATGTGATAAATATGAAGGACACCACTGGATTTGTACAGCACTGTCTATAATTTTGAAATTACATGTTTATCTTCTACCTCTTCCATAAAACTCTAAGCTCCCTGAGCTCATGGCTCATCCATGTCTTACTCTCTACTCACTCTACGTCCGCTGTGCTTAGCATATAGTTGGCACTCAACAAACATTTGTTAACTGACAACTCATTAGTTGACGGGCTTAGTCCATTAACACACTTTTAGAATATCATTCATATTCATTCTTACACTTGCATTATCTCACCTGCTTTTTAGCTAAAAACAACAACAAAAAGAAAAACAACAACTATGAGACAGGAAGTCCAAGAGCCTTGCCCTGAACCACATGGTCAGATATAGAGCTATATTGAGGGCCTCTGACTCCCAGGCTATATAAGGTTAGAGAAAAGAGCTCACTCTCTTGCCTTCCTGTTTCTTTCTGATCTTCAGACTAGAACTTCCATCTAAGTTGAGGTTATTAAGGCTTCTTTGGGGACTTCTGTGTGCTGAGTCCCACCATTCCCCATTTCCCTCGACAGAGCGGGCTCAGAGTCATTACCCCTAGTTTTCCTGGGGTGGGCCAACCCTGTGGTTTTCTTTGTTTCTCCAGTTCTGTGACTGTTAAGTTTGCATAAAGGCCTACTAATAAATCCTTGAAGTTACAACACCCCTGTCACTTCTAGTCTAGGTTATTCAGTCTGCCCAAATGTTCATATATACATGATGGACTTTCTAAGACCATAGGACCACCACAAGAGAGTTTTTTTTTTTGTTTTTTTTTGTTTTTTTTTGCGGTACGCAGGCCTCTCACTGTTGTGGCCTCTCCCGTTGCGGAGCACAGGCTCCGGACGCGCAGGCTCAGCGGCCATGGCTCACGGGCCCAGCCACAAGAGAGTTTTGAGTTTAGGTGGCACATAGGAAAGCGAACAGGCTCTGGAGGCACAGGCACCTGGGTTGGAATCCCAACACTCTCAATGAATTTCATCCCCACCTCACTGGCCTGACATGCAGATTTCATGAGGTGAGGTCTAGGAAGACTCAATAAATGGCAGATGTTATAATTTCCAACATTACTCACAGCATGTGTACTCATTTTAATCCCAATCAGAATAGAAGGTTCTTTGCCCAGTTAACATTTCAGATCGGGAAATCTGGAGGAGGAACACACCCCATCTGTAAAAGAATCTTACTTGCTGCTAATTTTTAAAAATATTTTCTTTGACATACAGGTCTCTCTGGTTAGAGAGTTGAGTGTCTCTGCAATTTGAAGAGCAGCCTCATTTCACCCCTGTCTTTAGAGACCCTCATGAGGATCTTCCCTCATTTTAGGCCACAGGAAGCCTAAAAGTGGCCATTACAACATGCGCCACTCATGGGGCATGGCCACGCAATGGCATCGCAATTTGGGCCTGTGGGGTAACAAGGATTTCTTAACAGGCTGTCCTGGCGAAAACACTGCCTGTTTCTCAGGGTTTACTTCCTCTAAATAGGAACTATTTGAACAGGGGATGGGGGGAGAATAAAAAAGCTACAGTCCCCGAACTTCATTTAGCAAATGCTCATTGGGCACCTGCAATATACCAGATGTTGTACTTTACAGGTGGCTCATCAATAAAACTTTTCAATTACCGTATGATCAAGCAATCCCACTCCTGGGCATATATCTGGACAAAACTCTAATTCAAAAAGATACATGCACCCCAATGTTCATAGCAGCACTATTCACAAGAGCCAAGATATGGAAACAACCTAAATGTCCATCAACAGATGAATGGATAAAGAAGATGTGGTCCATATATACGATGGAATATTACTCAGCCATAAAAGGAATGAAATAATGCCATTTGCAGCAACATGGATGGACCTAGAGATGATCATACTATGTGAAGTAAGTCAGAAATAAAGACAAATATCATAGGATATTACTTATATGTGGAATCTGAAATATGACACAGCTGAACCTATCTACGAAGCACAGACAGAGAGAACAGAGAGAACAGACCTGTGGTTGCCAAGGGGGAGGGGTGTGGGGGAGTTTGGGGTTAGTAGATGCAAACTATTACATATAGAATGGATGAACAACAAGGTCCTACTGTATAGCACAGGGAACTATAGTCAATGTCCTGTGATAAATTGTAATGGAAAAGAATATAAAAAGAATGTATATATATATGAATAACTGAGTCAATTTGCTGTACAGCAGAAATTAACACAACATTGTAAATCAACTACACTTCAATTAAAAAAAAAAGAAAACTTTTCAATCAAATGGAGTTCTACCTCTGTGGTTTCTTAGGTTAAAAAGATGATTTTGGAAATCCTTGTAATCAATGTCTACTGTTAGTTGTAGCCTGCTAACCCTATATTAGTAAATCAATTATTGTATAGTTCTCAAAGAAAAAGAATCTCCTTAGGGTCAATGTGAATTTAGTAAGCCTAGGGAAAATGAGGCAGAGCTCAAGGCAAGTTTTGTTATTGGCAGAGTTTAGATCACTTTCCTTCACCCACTTAGTCTTCGATTACCAATTAAGTATTAACATCTCAGCTATACATTTAAGGTCCTAGTTTACCAGCAAAGCTCCAGCCTGACCTCCGACACCTGCCCTTTAAAATCCCTACACTCCCATCAAAGTAGATTGCTTGCTTCTCTCCACTATAAATGACCTCTACTTAATAGGTAATTTTTTTGAAAAGCTAGTTAATATAAAAAAAAACATCTTATTAAAAGGAAAAAGAGAGGCTACTAGTCACTAATGAGCAGTGGAATGGGTCCCACCAGGGTATCAGTCCCTAACTTTGGAAGAGCTGCCCTCTATGGTGTGGTCAGGAATGGCAAACACATCCAAAATGAAGCCACAAGTCATGATCACACAGGACTTTCAAGGATATGATTTCCTCACCATTCCCTGTGCTTTTGCCCATACCGTTTTCTCCATGTAGAATGTCTTTCTCTCTCCTTTATATCTTGTACAGGCTTATTTTATCCTTATATGCCCATATCTGATGCCACCTTCTCTAAGAAGCCTTTTTCCATTCCCTGCGCCACCTGATATAATTTCCCCCTCCTTTGATGGATTCCCTGTAGCTGCTTATTTGTAACATTTTGTGGGACCCATCATATTTTGCTTTGTATCGTATTAATTTGAGTACCTGTGCAGATTCCAAGTTCCTCTTTTCTCATCTTTGTATAACAATATCAATAAGAAATTCGTATACCATTTTATAGATTACAAAAGCTCTTCCTACATAATCTTTTTTTTCTTCTAGCATAGTATATTAGGGGCTCTCTGGATTGTTGAAGTGAGGGTGAAAGAACCCGGGCATTTAGAAAGCTCTGAACTCCTCAATTCCATGGACATAACACCTGTCACATTCATTACATAGTGACTCATAGCTCATTGATCCCATCTTCTTTGGATATTATCCACAAAAGAGATTTTCTCTGACTTAAAAATTTTGAAAAACATGGCACTGTGAGGTTAATACCCAAATTTCACGTCAGTCTCATAAATCTCTGTTTATATACATATACATATATGTCATATGATGTATATCTGTCTGTGTGTGTACATGCACATGTACTTTATTGCAATTGTTGAGATATATGTTGATTGGTTGTTTTCTTTTTGTTTGTTTGTTTGTTTGTTTTTAATGTCTGTTCCAGGTTAAATGGCTATCCCAGGGAGCTCCACCAACAAATAATATAAAAATAAACTAAAGAATCAAGCATTGCTTGGCTTGTGAATATTGTACAGAGTTTGGAATCCTCACAAACCCCTGGTTTGCTTTTCCTATTGATACAGCCACTATGGAGAACAGTACGGAGGTTCCTCAAAAAACTAAAAATCGAACTACCATACGACCCAGCAATCCCACCACTGGACATATACCCTGAGAAAACCATAATTCAAAAAGAGTCATGTACCAAAATGTTCATTGCAGCTCTATTTACAATAGCCAGGACATGGACGCAACCTACGTGTCCATCGACAGATGAATGGATAAAGAAGATGTGGCACATATATACAATGGAATATTACTCAGCCATAAAAAGAAATGAAATTGAGTTATTTGTAGTGAGGTGGATGGACCTAGAGTCTGTCATACAGAGTGAAGTAAGTCAGAAAGAGAAAAACAAATACTGAATGCTAACACATATATATGGAATCTAAGGGAAAAAAATGGTTCTGAAGAACCTAGGGGTAAGACAGGAATAAAGACACAGACCTACTAGAGAACGGACTTGAGGATATGGGGAGGGGGAAGGGTAAGCTGTGACAAAGCGAGAGAGTGGCATGGACATATATACACTACCAAACGTAAAATAGCTAGCTAGTGGGAAGCAGCCGCATAGCATAGGGAGATGAGCTCGGTGCTTTGGGACCACCTAGAGGGGTGCGATAGGGAGGGTGGGAGGGAGACACAAGAGGGAGGAGATATGGGGATACATGTATACGTATAGCTGATTCACTTTGTTATACAGCAGAAACTAACACACCATTGTAAAGCAATTATACTCCAATAAAGATGTTAAAGAAAAGGGTGGGGGCATTGAGCTTGATGGCCTTCGAAATTCTGAGGAACTCAAACTTTGTAAATGTTGGTTCTTACCACACTGGAACCCCTGAGGAAAGACAGCAGATTTCGACAGACTGGCAGCAGAATCAGCATGCAGTTGAAATTCAGGCAGGCCGCAGGGGCCCTGGCCAGTGCCAGCGCTGACTGGAAAAGGTAGGATAAGAAGCAGGGTGACTCCTGTGCGCCCAGGACACCGCCCGCCCCACTTGCCTACACCCACTCCCCCAGGATTCCCAGCATGAGGCCCACACTCCAGAGATATCAAGTTATAGGGGCTTCCCTGGTGGCGCAGTGGTTGAGAGTCCGCCTGCCGATGCAGGGGACGCGGTTTCGTGCCCCGGTCCGGGAAGATCCCACATGCCGCGGAGCGGCTGGGCCCGTGAGCCATGGCCGCTGAGCCTGCGCGTCCGGAGCCTGTGCTCCGCAACGGGAGAGGCCACAGCAGTGAGAGGCCCGCGTACCAGGAAAAAAAAAAAAAAAGAGAGATATCAAGTTATCTGGGAAGGAAGGTCCTTTAGATCCAGGGCTCTTCTTCATCATAAATGAATAAAATGTTGGGGTGGGGAGCAGGGGCCAGATTAAAATAAATATTATGAATATTTTCAAACATAAAGAGAATTTGAAATAATTTCACAATGAATACCTGTTGATTCATCTCCAAGATTCTACCTTTTACATTTTACAATGGTTGCTTTAGCACATGTCTATTCACCTCTCCATCCATCTACCCATCCCTCTATCCATCCATCAATGCATCTTATTTTTGATGCATTTCCAAGTAAGTTGCAGATATCGGTTTACTTCCTCCTAAGTATTTAAGCATGCATATCATTAACTAGAGTTCAGTATAGAAATTAGGTCTTTGTAAAGAAGATTTTCTTAGCACATAGACTAACCTCAACAGTAACTAAGTTCGTATGGTATAATTGTTCTTTGCAATGCCTAAAGAAGTTGCATAACGTGGAGGAGGAAAATGCAAAGGGAAATCATCCTTTTCAGCATCAACCTGAATAAGTTAACAACAATTAAAATAATGTAGTGTAATTATATGTTATAATTATTTATGCATATGATGTATAATACATATTATAATTAGTATTATTAAGTAATGGTTTCAGTATGATGTAACAAATGATATCCTCTGGGGGCAGCCGTAATTGTACTTATTTTCTTATTTTCATTTATGATGAAGAAAAGCCCTGTCAGTTCAAGGAAACTGAGAATGTTATTGGACCCAAGAAAAGTCAGGGGCCTTTGCTCTGCCAGTCAAGTCAAAGAACGTGATCTTTGGGCAAGTTCCTCAAAGCCTCCATATGTAGGGAGAGGCTTATTTCCTGAAGATTATTTCATAACATGTCATTAGGAGCAGGGCTTTTCATGCACAAAAGTTAGTAGGAATCGGATGATTTAGAGAATATAGGAAGTCCCACTTGTGCCACCTGTATCACCCCTGGATCGATCTTTCCAACCTGGCCACCCATTCCGGAGTCAGTATTAGATTTCTCCTTCAAGCTAAACAGTAGCACAGTAGTTCTTGGGAGGGGAAGGATGCTGCTGGGACCCTCTGCCACACTTCTGTCTGTCCCACACTGGAAGGCCTAAAGACTCTTGCCCAGGGGGTTGCAATGGAGGGAGTGAGGCCGATGGTGCTCTTTGGGTCGGTCAGAGTATTCCTTTAAAATGTTAAAAGGAATAGGAACAAGAATCTCTGATTAGACATGGGAGCCAGTCAGTACTGCGGGAGATGGAACTTATACTTACCCCAAGAAGTTTTCGAGTATAGAAGAACTTATCTGGAATATCATAAACCCGGTAGTACCAGACAAAGAGGAAGACGTTCATCCCCAGCCATACCAGCTGCACAAACAGAAGTGGTTGCGTGAAGTTTTCATGTTTCAACAGGTAGATTTCACAGCAGTTTAGAGTCAGACCAGGGTCAGGACTTCCCCAAGTACAGCCTTTGATTAAGGTGGTTACAAAGCCAGCTCCTTCCTGCAAGAGTATCACTACACTTCTCTGTAAGTAACCTTTCCTCCCTGTGTTGTCCCCCGTGATTATTATACTACTTGGGCCGTATGCCGAGTTATTATCTATCTCCCCTCCTTTCTTTCTCCTCCTTTTAGATTGATAGATGACAGCAGGTGACTCTTCTTACAAAGAGAAGGGAAAGGAATCTGTTCCTATTCTGTCCCCTGCACCAGCAGGACTTTGTGTTTGATTCTCACAGGTGTGATTACCTCTCTCCGCCACACAGCATCCCGCCCCAGCTTGTGGACGTCTCATCAGCTAAAATGACAAGGCTTTAATTCTACTTGATAAGTTTTGCTTCACTTTTTAAATTTTTTTTTTTTTTTTTGCGATACGCGGGCCTCTCACTGTCGTGGCCCCTCCCGCTGCGGAGCACAGGCTCCGGACGCGCAGGCTCAGTGGCCATGGCTCACGGGCGCAGCCGCTCCGCGGCATGTGGGATCTTCCCAGACCGGGGCATGAACCCGCGTCCCCTGCATCGGCAGGTGGACTCCCAACCACTGCGCCACCAGGAAAGCCCTGCTTCACTTTTGAAAGAGGGAACATTCAGCATCAATGAGGGAATGAGAGGCATGGGATTTTTTTTTTTTTTAAAGGGAGATCCTTCTAGATTGTGACTGCTCATTTCATCCCAAGTACTGACTGCATCAAATGATGACTCTACCCAGCCCTCCACCTTCAGCTCCACAGTAGCAATCTGTTCTTAACTGTGCTTTGAGGCTATTTGATGTCCTTCAATGCTTGAGGATAGTCTCTCTTTATAAAGAAGAAGGTACTAAAACCACTTCTCCATTTCCTAACCTTGTCATTTTCACTCTTGCCTTCCAAGCTGTGGATTCACTTTCAAGTATATGAGTGTATAATCTAGATAGGGGTCACTTCCCGGGGAAAACTGTGGTAAGAGCTAAAAGTGTTTATATTTGAACTTATTTTTTAAAGGAGTAATCTGTTCTTCAAATGGGGATAAGAAATCAACTTAACAGCTTGGAGTCCTCAGAACAATTCTGTATTGCATTAGATTGTTGATTTGGCTTAATTTTTTTTAAATGACAAAATATGTGATTTTTATTTTATCTGTGCCACTCATTTCTCTCTACCTCTACAGCTCAAAGAATCATATTTACTTCATGATAAATTCTTTCAAAAAATTCATACATAAGTGTTCTTTTTAACATCTGGGTAATACCTTAATTAGCTATTTGGAAAAGCTACTTATAAATCACATTTCTATCTTCCCAATTGTCCGTGATTGCTTTGCTGAGACCGCCATCTTAAAAAAATAGTTGATCTATGTTATGTTAAAAACTAAAGAAATCATCATGTGTGTTCGAAAATTGGCCATATCTTTACTTACAAAAATTGTTTCTCAAGACAGATTATATTGATTTATATACAGCTAAATATAATATATATCGTATATACGCTATACATATGTGTCTAGATAGTTTTTTTTTTCAATTCCCTTCCCTTAAATTTTTCAAAAACCTCACAAATAACTAAAGTTTACCTCAGAGAAAAGAAGGTACTTTTTTAAAAAAGAAAGTTGAGAACTTCAATTATTTTTGGTGTAATTACTGAAATAAAGGCCAATTTCCCGTACATGAGCCAGTCTTGCATTTGTTATTTGGAAAACTGTATAAAATTTCAATTGCCCATTTTTAGGTGGTATAAATACGTTAAAAATAGAGAAATTTGCCTCTGAGTAAACAAGGATCATTAGCATGAAATGTCTCCTACTCCCACTGTGAAATGCTGGCTAATTTATTACTCCTAAAAACTCCAGAAATAAACTAGGTGAAGTGAGCCCCCAGATACATTCTTTCCATTAATAAGTTTGGAAGAATGGACTCACTCTGCTTACAGATGGATGCACGTTCACATAATAAATCAGTTTCAACACAATTTCTCAAACAAAACAAACAAAAAAGCTTTGCTCTATTCTCATTTCCAAGAGAACCCAAACAAATCAGAGAATTTGTAATTTCATTCTCATTGGTACTTACAATGACGAAGATGGAGAGGCCCTCATTCACAAACAAGTTCCCCATGGTGGCAGAGGTTCAGTGCCTCGAGTGTGCCTTTCTTCTCTGCTATGCTTCTTCCTCCCATGAGGAAATGAAAACAGCAGCCTTGGGGCAATCTGTTTCCTTTTCTATGATCAGAAATTAGCTAATCATTGGTCAACTGTAAAGCTTGTCTCCATAACAAATTTGAATCTTTAACCACAAAAAAATGACAGAAAAAAAGTCTACAATGATCCAATCACAACTAAACATAGTGGGAAATGAAACTAATTTCTACAACTGAGAGGCCAATAACAGTACAATTCATGGTGTTTTACACTGTGAATTAATTTTTGGACTGATCGGTTATCAAGTGGCAATTTTTAAAAAGTCACCCAACTAGCCATGACTTTGGGCTAGGTAAAAAACATTAAATAGATGTGATATCTTTTGATAGACTGGAGCAGCATTTACAGAGTCTTGTTGAGAAAAATTATAACAGGTGTGATAGCTGATATTTATAGAATGCTTACTTTGTGCCAATTTTCTAAGATATGTATGTGTGCATGTAAATACATGTGTATGTACATATATACACACACACATATGTATATATGAGTTGATACATATCTATGTGTGTGTCTACACACAAAGACACCCATACACACACATACATAAATTCAGTATATAAATAAATTAATTTGATACTAACAATTCAACACTATAAAGTAGTTTCTATTATTAGGATTACATTTACAGATGGGGAAACTGAGACCCAGAGCTGTTAAGTTACTTGGCCAAGGTCATGCAGTTAGGAAACCATGCAGTTGGGATTTAAAACCCAAGCAGTTTGGCTACACTTTTAGCCACGATACCAGAAAAAAAAAGCCTGACAGTGGCAACCACATCCCAGATCACTCCTAATACAGCCACGGGAAAAGAAAACATAACAAATAGACCAAAATGTTTGAACGACTGTAGTATTCCCAGGCGGACGTGACATTTTTCTAGGCAAGGTAGGTAAACAGGGTCAGAACAAAGGTATGTCAGATGCGGTAGATGCCAAAGGCAGATTTAGCATTTTTTTTTTCTCTGACTCCCATCCAGTCTTTAGGACATGAAAGAGACAGAAGGGTAGGATGGTAACCCCTGATTGCATCAGGGTGGTTGTACAACAGCTAGAGTGAATAGAGAGGTAAAAGAAGAAACTGGAGGAGCGAAAGGCAACAAGAGAAGAAAAGAGGAGAGGCCTGAACCCTTTGGGTTATTGTCTATGAAGCACTTGAGACAACCTGCAGAATTATGACCGTGAGTAAAGTAATACTGTTTTCCACTTTTTAATATTTAAGGAAAGGTACTCAACTGTGACTTTCTGCATGGCTCTTGAATCATAGGTAACCCACATAAAGGACAGTCGGCTCCCTGGTTCAGTTACACACAGAGATGAATTCAAAGACACACAGTTAGACCATCAAGTTATATGCCAGTTATTTGCCTCTCTGCTCTGGGATTTATTCCTCAGCCTTTATTTGCTCTGTTCTGTTTCAGGTGAGGAACAGAGGATGGAGGATGAGGGACACCCCCCGCTTTCTGCTTCAAGTGGCATCTTGGAAGTGGCTGCCTTTCCACCGGAAGCTCCGGCTCCCACCGGCCAGCCTTCCCCCCTGTGGCCTGAGCTCCTGCTGGCCAGTCACCACTGTAGTTCCAGCTCCTGTCACATGGCCCTGGCTTCTGGGCTTGACTTACACCACCTCCTGCCGGGTTTCGTCCAACCCGGAGGGCGGTCGCCACTTCCTGTAGTTGTTAATGTTTATGTTGCCTCTGCGCCCACGTTGGGACTCTCCACTTTCCCATCATCCACGTAACAAATCCCTGGGGTGAAATTCCCTCTGCTGAAATAGGGTGGTTTCTGTTTTCCTGACTGGACTTTGCCTGATACAGAAAGGAATTCAGACCTGTACTCATTTTCTGGTGGAAGTAAAGAAGTGAGGCATATATGCCTAATGAGGAATAAAACACCTTAAAATCTGCTCTCCCTCTTTCTGTTACTCTCACTTTCTTTCACAGTGATGACTGCGGCTCCATCAGGCTCTTTGAAACTTACCAAAGTCTTCCCCTCCCTACCCCTCCTCTCTTTTCTCTTTCCCAGCCTACTGGTTGATCTTCCCTTACTCTATCTTAATCTTCAAGTCTCTCCCACAGTTTTTCATCTACCTCCTGAGGCCCGTGCTCTGCTGGGGAAGCAATGGAGAAGGGACCCTGGATACTCATATACTAGGAAATAATGTTTCTCGAATATTTCCCAACTTCTTTCCCCTCCCTCCACAGTTTGAGAAGAAAATTCAAAAAAGAAAGAATATTTTTGTGGGTGATCAACCATTCCCTCCTATGGCTTTTTTTTTTCTCCTTTATAAAAGTAATGACAGGGCTGTGAGTAGAGCTGTCTTACAAGCCTTAAGAACTTCAATCGGTTTCACAGCTGGAGGAAGAGAGTTCAGTTGCAATGAAGAGTAAAATCTTTCTTTTATGGAAAGTAACTTCCCTTTTGAGAACACTGTTCCAGTGAATTTCAGTGTCCTCTGCTCTTGAAAAGACAAGCGGAGGGTTTGATAAAGGAGCAACAGGTACTGGTTGACTGGTATGGACTGGACACCAAGAATGAAGAAAATTGAACCTCTGTGCATTAGCTAACTGTCTATCTTCTCCCAGTCACTTCGGCCTCCACTGCCTCCTAAACTGTTAATGTCAAGTTAGACTGTGATGAATGCAAGGAAGTATTCACCCCTCCTAGCAGGCAGTAATGACCAACACCATCAGGCTTGTGATTGAAATCCTAGACACCTCTTGCAGAGGGAAAAAAGAGAGAAGCAGTCCCAAGTCTCTAGGAAACCCCCTGATTTTGCATCCTGACAATAATTCCTTCTTGCTTTGTCAAAGTAAAGAAGTCGACTCTTAATTTCTTCCAAGAAGGATATATGGAATGCTGAAGAAAGGGAGGTGTGTGGCCACACCAAGATGCCTGACGAATTTTGTTCCTGGTGATGATGAAAAATGGATTTGTGTTCCTTTTATCTCTACTGTGCATGCTATTCTTTTCAGAACTGCCATGATTCCACTCTCTGTGCATCCATGAGTTATGTGGCCCCAGTTTCCTTGCTTAAGGATGACAAATGAGAGGACTTCATCTCCCTAGATACAGTGATTGTCCCAGGGGTGGGCATTTGACCCAAACGAGGTCAATGAGAGTTATTTGCATGAGGAGGGAGTTGTTAGGGACTATGGAAGAGAGTGGATGAAGCTTTTCTTTTTTTGTGAGTGATGCATGCCTGCTGCTGCCATAGACCAACTCTATTACCTTGCGCTAAGAAGCTGCATAAGAATTACGCCAACACGAAATCAGATCAGTAGCTGGGGAAGGATTGAGAGGTTCTGAGACAAATACGATGACAAGGTTTGCATTCTTGGGTCTGATCTACCTGAGACACTTGGACATCTCAGTTCTTCTTACAGATTGCGTTCCCTGGAAGTATACTCTGAGGTGGAGATTAGTGTTCAGGAGTTTGATCTGAGAGTGTCCTTGGAGGTACACACCCGTGGAAAGGAAGGAAAGATAAGAAAACAGGAGTGGGCAGAAGGAGAAGTTGAATTATCATGTGGTCACAAGAAATGCCTCCGCAGTCCTGTAGAGGCAACACTACCATTTCCTGCTGTAAAAAAACTTTGAGTTGGCTTTTCTACCACTTATATCTAGAAGGGTTCCTACTAAAGCACGGTGTAATGAAACCCACTTTAATTCCATAGCCATGGTCTCCAAGGTTAGTGGAAGTTGAATAAGGCAGCTGGAATGGGATCCAGACGTTCTATTTCCTGTTTGAAGGAGAAAATAACTAAGTAAAAGAAGAGTTGGTCAGGGAGGAAGGGGCAATTTTCTGATGTACGTGATTAAAGGCATTAAGAACACGGTTTTACCTGGTATTGTATTTATTAGAAAGTGAAAATGTCTGGTGGGTGAGGATTTTAAATTTAGCTCTTTAGATTAAATGTGATTTGCATACATTTATTCATGAGAATAAGGAAGAAAATGAGGAAAGCTTACATATTTTCTCCTACCGATCATTGATTTGAATTTAAAACTTTCCAGTATGCTTCCTGTATAAATTATTTTCTCTTTTTCCCTTGAAAAATATCTATCTTTACAGACTTATCTTGGTCTTAACAACAGCCAACATTTGTAAAGCATTTTACACATGCCCAGTACCTTATGTGCTTTATCTCATTTACTTTTCATGACCACACTATAAGGTGTGCAAAATTATCATATGCATTTGAAGTAGGATGAATGTTGCCCGCCCCCCCACACCCAGAGATGTCTGGGTACTGATTCCCAGATCCTATGAATATGTTATTTACATGGTTAGAAGGACTTTGCAGACATGATTAAGTTAAAGATTTTGAGATGGGGAGATTATCGTGAATGATTCCGGGGGGGCCAGTGTAATCACAGGGGTCCTTATTAGAAGGAGGCAGGAGGTTCAGAAGCATTGAGAGAGGATGTGAGGGATGAAGCAGAATTCAGACAAGAAAGAAGATGCTATGCTGCTGACTTTGAAGATGAAGGAGGAAAAGCCATGAGCCAAGGAGTGCGAGAAATGCAGCTCTAGAATCTGTAAGAGGCAAGGAAGTGGATTCTCTTCTGGAGCCTCCAGAAGGAATGTAGATCTCCTGACACCTTGATTTTAGCCTGGTGAAAGTGATTCCAGACCTCTGACCTCCAGAACTGTAAAAAAGTAAGTTTGCGCTGTTTTAAGCTGGTCATTTGTGGTAATTTGTTACAGCAGCCATAGAAAACTCATACACTTTACAGACCAGAGAGAAGAGCTGCGAGGAGAGAAAGTAGCCTGCCCAGAATCACACGGCTGCCTGACACCAGAGCTGAGATTTGAATCTGGGCAGTCTGATGTATCACTGCTTATTCGAGCCACCAGAATCATTTTGTAAAGCTAGGGCTTCATTGTCAATAATAAAATCATTTTATGAGCACCAGCTGCTATCCCAAGACCCCTGGATTGAACTCTGCTATCCTGCTGTCGG